TTAATGCTACTTAATTGTACACTTGAAAATGGTTAAAATGGTAAATTTTATGTTATGCATGTATTTTACCACAATTTTGTAAAACGTTAACAACAACAAAAAAAGATAGTGAGAGATATCTTAACCTATCTACCACACCTACACTTTTGGTGTCAAGGTCACAGCTGCTGCTTGTTCTGTTTATGAGGGAAGGGTGACAAAAACATAGACATTATCAGACTATAAGCATCTCCAGAGTAAAACAGTTCTCCTACCATCACCCTGTGTTTCCAGGCATTTCTTTGAATCTTCTAACATATTTCAGATTTCCTCATAACAAAAATACATAGGTCAACAAGTCATAATTTATTTTGTGTTATATATTTATTGAAATTTCATGTCTTGGGAGACAGAAGAGAAAAGCAAGTTATTTTGACTCTAGGCTTTATTTTGAGCGACAAAAAGAATTAAAGTGGAAAAGAAGAAAAACTAAAATTAAGTGATTCCTACTATGTTAAAGAAATTCCACACAGATTTTCTCATTTAATATCATAATAATTCTGGAAAGAATTTTCTCTACTTTATACCTGAGGAAATTGAGAGTCAAAGAGGTAGAGAATATTTCTCAAGTTCACATAGCTAGTAAGCAAGGGAATAAAAACCAACTCGTGACTGTCTGAAAGAAACCAAAAAGCCCTTTCTGTTACTTTAAAATATGGGGGAAAGTGAGCACGTTACCACAGTGTTTGTGTTGTAGTATCCAAAGACGGAAGCCCTGAGTATATTTAGATGTAAATCCTAAAAACAAGAAAAGCCAATATCAAAAGTTCAGGAGGAAGACAGGGACAATCCCAAAGTCATAAACTCTGATAGGGAAAGAGGGTTAAGGCTGAATGAGAGGTTTTTAAAACAAGAGCCTGATGATATAATCTCACATTATGATAATGAGGAAGAAAGATGTCACAGGGTGAGGAGCAGCAGGATAGATTTAAAGAAACCAAAGTATTTCCACAGGCAACTTTCTGGTCAACATGCGTTTTAAAATAACATACCAACAACTATAACAAATGCTAACAGAAGCGTGGGAGCGGCAAGGGCACTGGTTCCTGTGAGCCGGGCAGAGCGTGGGAGCTAAAAGAAAAAAAAAAAACCTAAAAGCAAATACTAACATCCTAAGTGAACTGAACCTAGCGGAAAAACATGACAACAAAAATCAAGAACTTGAATATACCTAAAGATCTAAAGATAAATTCAAAGAGCAAGAAAAACAACAAAGAGTCAATGCCATAATATAAACTGAAAACTGAAGAAATAACCGAGCGATTCAATTTCCATTTTGTATATTATTTTCTCAAAAATAAAATAAATATTTAAGGCCAAGATAGAAAAAAGATAATAAGTGAGCATCTCACTACTTTAAATATATTTAAATCCCAAGAGTCCTATAATGTACATTCCAGATTTCAACTTCAAATGATTTTTTAAACATGAGTAGAAAAGGCACAGGAGACAATTAATAGGAAAAGTTATTTCATTTTTCAGCATGCCCAAGATGTATCTGGAAGCCATCAAATACAATATTTCTGTAAGTGACTTTAAAAGGCTGGCTGATAGTTTAAAATCTGGCTCTGAATAAAAAAATGTCTAGCTCTGCCAGATTTGTAGCCTTACTTGTTCACTAACTCTTGTTCATTAACCATTGACTCCTCAGTAAATGGAGATGTTGAACTCAATTTTGTAGGATGTGCTGTGAAGATTGAGAATAATATACATAGAATACCTGGCACATGGTAGGTGCTCAATATATACTAGTTTCCTATTATATATACTTTGCTGTAACGGATCTAAGATAGAAGTGGGCTATATTTATGTATCCTACTGACAGATAACTATTTAACAACAGGAGGGAGATACTTTCCCATACCTTTGCGGCCTCTGGCATATAGCAAACTAATTCACTAGTAGTATTCTCCACCAGTGGAATGCCAATTTGAAAACCTTCCATTTTAATAGACCCATATGCTCTTCTAGTAGCTGTTTAGTCCTAAGTATGATACCAGGAATATCAAGCATACCTTAAAGTAGTATATAAATCTTGCCTTGAGAACAAAAGAATAACAGCGCTAGTACAGGAGGCTCACAGATCAGACAGAAGTCCAGCTGGTTCTATAGAATCTGACAAAAGCTGGGGGCAAGAAAAAGGATTAGACCAGAGAATCGAGCAAGATTCCACAGCAATGTCAGAAGCAAAACTCATCTGATTGCTATTAAATCTCTCAGGAGCATTCTACCTTCTCTTGCACAGCCTTGAACCAAGGGGCCTTATGAGAAAATGAACTGGTTTTGGAAATGTAGCCAATCTAATTCTGTTCAGCTTATTCAACAGCAGAGGCAGGACTCAGGGAAAGTAAAGAAAGACAGACAAAAAGCCCTCTAATACCGCTCCACTCCTTCAGGGGAGTGCTGAGAAACAGAAACATCCCCAAGCCCCAGATATTCTGGACCTTAGGCCTTTTCCTCCTCCCTTCTTATTATCACACCGCCTCATTTGTAATAGCTGCTACACCACACTTCTCTGTGGCAGTCTTGCTTTATGACTCACTACGCTGTTTACCAGTATTTGCCCTGCAATGTTTCAAGCTCTTTGCTCTTTTCTGCTATTGACTTCAGTCAGCTCAAGACTTCAGATGCAGATATATCACAGTGAGAACAGGAGTTGCTGCAAAGGGTCCAGAAAGCAAGGCTATTATTATCAGATGCCACAAAACCAAGATCTACATATCTAATGAATAGACCCCATGCGTTCTACCATCTAGTTTAGGGAAGGCACAAAAGGAAAGGAAGTCACGGGGACAGACTGATTTGGAATTAGATTCTATGCAGAAATTTCAATAGAATGAGCATTCCTCTTTTGACAGAAAACAAGAAATCTAGATGCTTTAATCTTTTCTTAAAATAGGAAGTTATACAATTTAAGGACTATATGTTCTCCTCATCAGCTTTAGAGTAGTTACCTCTCTGAATTTCCCCAAAGAATGTTAATATAGTTGAAATCTTTTTTTTTTAATTGAAGTGTAATTGACACACAATGTTACATTAGTTTCAGATGTAGAACACAGTGATTGGACAACTCTGGGTATGCAATGCTACAAAAGCAGTTAACATGTGTCACCATACAATGCTATTATAATATAGTCTAATTCTTTTTTTCTTCCTTATCCTCTTCTTTTTTTTATTATTAACATATGATGTACTATTTGTTTCAGGGGTACAGGTCTGTGATTCAACAGTCTTACACAATTCACAGCACTCACCATAGCACATACCCTCCCCAATGTCCATCACCCAGCCACCCCATCCCTCCCACCCCCCACC